TGAGGGGATTTGGGGAGGAAAGAGGCGTCTGCGGCATCGAGATCCCATTTTCCTCTGGTCTGGGGATCATTGTGTCACTGCTGACTTCCAGAGTCACGCCTCTTCCTCCCCAGCCAATTCCAGCTGAACAGCCCACCTTAAAAGTTACCCTTTAAATGGCCACGTTTTCATTTTTCTTCATTAACCTTTTGAGTTAAAACCAAAACAAAAAAGAACTGCGCCCCAATTTCATTTGAAGATTGACTGAGTCATCAGACGTTTTCTATTATAGCATCTATATAAATACCAGAGGACATGTAATGACTTGTAGAGATTTAAACAATTCCCTGTTTGTTGTCTGACCTTTATGTGGTGTGCTTAAGCAGTGCCCCTGCGAAGTGCTTGACAACAGCATACACTCACTTTATAGCCAGGAGACAAAGTAGCATCAGCTGCAGGAATCAGGTTTAGTGCCAGGCTGCATTTTGCATAAGAACCTGAACTCTGTTTTTCCAAAGAGAGAAAACTCTGCGTTTGAGGATGGCATTTCAAAGGGTGAAATAAGAAGAATCATGGAAAAGCATTTTTAAATAGTCATTTTCTTGCTCTCAGTCCTTATAATACAAAGCTAAGTTGAAATAACACTCCTCCACCCCCCACCCCACCCTTTTTTTTTTTGAAGATTGGAAATCACTGTATCAGTATCAAATAGCCTCTAGGTTTAATGGTGGACCGTGTAAGCTGATCCTCTACATTTACAGAGCGTCCTAAAAAGATTCAAAGAAATCTGGAGCTTGGCTGAAAGGAAGGAAACCGAAGCTAGACAGAATAACTCGTATCATTTGATTCTTGCAGTTGAAGCGAGAGGGACACTGAACAGAAAAGGAAACTGCACCAGATAAATTAAATTCCACATGTAAGAGGGTACAGGTATGATGGGGGTGATGAACGCCTCCATGCTGATTATTATTGAGCCCAGTTGCATGGAAGGCAATTAAGGCCAGGAGCTTGTCGTGAATACAACCTGACACCTCGCTACGGTCACTGACGCTCTCTGAGTACCGTCCAGTGGATAGAGACCTGGAAGTGAAAGCACCTTTGTCAAACCGCTGCAAGAAAAAAATGACTGATCTATTTACAGAATAAAAGACTGCAGTGCATTGGCTGGTTGACTGACATTGCAGGCATTATTTTGTAACCAAGTGCCACCAGCAAACTATCCAAAGAGCTTCCTTGCTTTGCATTTATTTATCCAGCAATTGTTATGCTTTTTTATTTTACTTTTTTTTTTGTGATGGCATATTACTAGTTAACATCAGTTGCAACAAATGGCACATAAGATGGCATGCAGATGAATGCGGTGAAATAACCAGCGACACTTGCAAAGTCTATATCTCTCCCGTGCATACCACCTCCTCCTGGCTGAACATCATGCAGCCCAATCACCACACATCCTGCTTCAGGCGTCCACATAGGCTCATCCTCCCTTTCATAGGACCTGGCAGTTATCACAGCTGCCTCCTCCGGCTGCATGTGGCCACGTGTCTGGGAGCAACACCCACCACTCTCAACAGCACAATACCCAAAGTGCTCAATAGGAGCACTTCTTGCTTACCCGGTCAACAGGCCAACGTGCAGCATCCACACGACGCGGCCATATGTTCATATCGTTCGACTCCCCGCTTTTGAGAAATCCTCCATCACTTCATCAGTGGTGTAACTGAGCGTTTCTGTCACTTTGCCTGTGGCGTGTTTCCCAGTATGACATTTTGACACTTTATCAACATAACTCAGAAAGCTGTTACGCTGTCCCCTGAATCACCTTTCACCGATGTCTGTGACCTGATTAATCCAACACTTCATGGGCGTATTGACCCAGTATGCACTGTACATGGGGACACACTTAAGCGCTGTGGCTGCCTTCACACAACAGGGACCAGCAAAGCTTAAAAGACAAGCAGAGTATCACAGAAACGGCACATTTTGCGACCGAGTTTTCAGTAACAAAATAATTTTTCCTTTACATATGACAATATATGCACACAACAAAACAAACACCTGTTACTTGTTTATTGTTTAGTGGCATAAAGCTGGGCTTGCCAAAATGTCCCTTGAACTGTAGTTTTGGTTGTCTGCTACTATCAAATATGAACGTGCCAAGAAATAGTTCAAAAATGATTCATATCCTCCTGAGGCCCGGAAAAATTGTTTTGATAATTGAAGTATTGTGGTTAAAAGAAAAACGTTACAGCATTTTTATTGCATGAACAATAAAACGAGGAACTGATGGAAACGCATCTGAATACTGTTTGGAAGGCATTATTCTTTTTCCTTTATGTCAGAGACATCAAGATCAATTATTACTTTGATGGGCCGCCTCATCTTGAAGAATCTGTCTCAGCTTAGTGAACTGGCTATAACTAGGACCCAGTGTATCTGGATCCTAGACTGAGTCTTGCAATAAGCAGATATGTTCTGAACAGTGTTTCCACCCTTAAAACAACAAATGTTCTGGAGATGAGCACCTTCCTGTGGTTTGACATGTTTTTTCAGAAACCTGGTTGCCCGTGTTATATTTTATGTAAGCAGAGAGCCTCTAGGCTTGATGACTGTGGTTTGTCCTGTTTTCACATTTCAACCCATTTTCAACAGGGTTGAAAGTAAAGTTCTGATATTTAGATTTTCTTATACATAAGTGAACTATTAGAAACATGCATCAAATAATATGTCTAAACTGGAATTTATTTAAATTTCATCTTCTGTCCCTTGAAGTGGACATCAGATCTCGCTTGATCACAGAATGATATGACGGCTGAGTGAGGCACACAGGATTTCATTCAGAACTGTGGAAATTGAGTCAAGTTTTCGGGAGATGAGGTGGAGGAGGAGTGGGCATTAGAACAAGAAGGTGAAGGTTCAGACGGAGGGCATACCAGGTTTTGAGAAGCCTCACAGGACCAAAGTGACGACACCTAAAGTCCAGTATGGATAAGAAGTATTGTGTAAGCTAGAGCTCTGAAGATGTTTCTTGACCAATCCCACATGGAATCATATTTTTCACGGCAGCCTCTTTAACAGAGTTCCCACTTTCCAGTGGTCTTCCTTCTCTTCCTGCATATCAGTGACATGAAGATTATTTGAATCTGCCTCAACTTATTAAATAGGCTATAACTAGCACCCTATTTTCTGTCTGATGTAATCAGACCACCACATTTGGTGGTTATCCTGCTTTCATATTTCATGCTAAAAAAACCAATTTCAACCCAGTTTCAGTATGATATTAGTGCTACTTTCCTTTCAGAGATGAGCAACACCATCTGGTTTGTGAGCTCTAGCATGGTTTTGTAAAACCCGGTTGCCTAATTTTTGTTTGGTGGTTGTGTGTCCTGTTTCATCCTATGTGTGTGTTTGACTGTGTGTATGTGTGTGAATTCAGCTGAAGAGGTTTTCGTTTCTCCTTCTAGAGATCATAATGCCTGAAAACTTCAGAGCTCTACATCAAACAGTTCTTTTTATTATAGATGGTAGGTGCCTTCACACAGTCCTGCTCGGGCTCCTCGAAAGCTCGTATCTCATCCTTTGAGCTTCCACCTTCCTGCCGGTGGTTGTGGGCAACGTCGTCCTGTTTTCATGAGTCATGTTCAAAAAATTTTCAACCCAATTTCATCAATCTCATTAATTTCATAAAACCCAATTATCTGCAAATTTTTCATCGCAAGCTCCCTTGTTGCAATAAAATGTGGAAGCTGCTCCTTGAAAAGAAAGTCCATGGAGTGTGTTAGTCAAACCCCCTCAGATGTGGTATCACTAGAAAGCCCAGGATGTCCTCTTGTCAGTACAGTAAGGCTCAAATACATCGCATAAATTGTGCTTGAGGCAGAGCTCTCAAAGCATGTCCTCCCACAGAGGACAAGAATGAATGGCTGGGTCTTAGGAAGATATTGTGCCCATTATCAAGATGGCAAATTGCAATTGTAATTTGATGCATACTGAACCACCTTATTAACATTTTAATGCTAATGATGAGAATGTTGATGAATTAATTATCTTTAATGAATCTGTTAATATTTTAAAAAATATTTTAAAAGATGGAAACAGGAAGTGCATGGTCTTTTGGTAACTGGTGAGTTAAATAAATGTTTTGGTCTTTGTCTTCTTTCTTTTGCAGATGACTGATTATTTGTTTAAACATTAAGACTATAATGAAAAAGACAAACAAAAAACCCCAACGAAGCCCCACATTATCAATTTACTGCGTGATCCCGTGATTAATTGGATCTGTGATGACCGAGTTGAAAAAAGTAAAGTATTTTATTTATTCATCGGTTTATCTGTTCAAACCCAGAGATTTCAGTTATCATGTTGACTAATGACAATATTTGCATTATTACAAATGAGCTCTTTTCTTTTTTTTAGCCTTGTCAGTACAACTGACTGAATGCAGAGCAGTATCAGATGATGGAATCGTATATTAATCATGCAATTCTGTCTTCACGCAGTATATCAGTTAATTGCACATTTTCATTCTTTATACAGCCAAATTGGAGCGCTGTCTGCCAAACATGCAGTTAGTTTGTGTATTGGTACTGTGTGTGTCCAAAATTAAACTGCAGAGCATTCTTTGTCAACAGAGTAACCTCTGGACAAGCGATGTTTAGAGAGAGGAGATTAGATTAACGCTTGCTCGGGCGCTAATAAATCTGGAGTCATGAATAGAGAGGGAGATTATGCGCGAAGGAGAGAGGAAGTAGAAGAGAGGGGATTTTCTTAAAAAAAAAAGCACAAAACTGCTAGTAATTTCACCCATGAGAGAAGTTGAGCAGAGAACTAACAGGAAGTCTTCTCCCTCAAGAGGAAACCAAGTGTTGTTACTGTAAAAACAGCTGACCTCGTGCCTTTCTGTCGGGAAGGAATGCACGCAGAGGAGACAGACAGAGAGATAAACAGGAATCATACAGTACAGAAGATCACCCTCCAGTGCAGACGCACGGGCTCTCTCTCTCGCTCCCTCCCTCTCTCACTTTTTCTCTCACTCGCCCACTTAGTATCATTTCATCTCTCTCTCCCTCTCTCTCTCTCACCACACTCTCAGTCGCTGAGCTCTAACGGATGGGGATACACCGCCAAGGAGGACTTAGGGGTGAGAAGTGTGTGTTTCTTCTCTTCTCTGGTGTGTTTTCGTTCTCTTCCGCCTGGCTTCCCTCATGAGCTGTTAATTCCAGCCCTGGTCCTGAGGATGAGGAGGATCTGTTTGTGAGGAAGACGCAACAAAGGAAGAGAGAACAAGGAGCAACAGGGTGGCAAATTCTGCAAGCGGGAGTGAGCAAAAAGATCTTTTCTTTTTCTCCAGGCTCAAGCAAGGTTGGTAAGGGAAGCTTCTTGTTATTGAAATAAACAGTGCCTGCTATTATTGTTCTATGTCTATTACTTAGTTTCATTTCTAACAAGACATATTCAAAATATTTCCCTCCCTCCCTTAGAGCTTCAGTTAACTGTCCCTGCAGAGCATTTTTCTAAATTGAGAACATTTTATTTTTTTAAAAGTGCCTAGAAACATTTGAGTCATATTTCTTTCTAATAAAGCAAGTCCCCAGGTTGGATACTCAAGTGTCACTACAGGTCAAAACTACTGTGTAATTTCCCCAAGGCATACAGTACAATTCTCAGGTGGAGTCTCTCGTTAGCAAGGTGGCGGAGACTGAGCTTCAGGAAAAGGCGAGGACAGCTCGCTCTCATCGCCACTCCTCAGCTGTCACTTTACACAGGAGGCAATTAAGCGGGATTGGCAGCTGACGCTGCCGGTAACTTAGAAACAGGCGTGTGGGAGACACATGGTGGCACACGATAGGATTTAGAGGAGGAAGGAGCAGCGGAGGAAGGAGATTCCTTTTGTTCGTTCACACAAAATCCTGCTCCTCTGTGAAAAATCCTGCTCTCGCCTGGGTGTCTGAAACCTGGCCCACAGGCAGCAGTTGCGAGCTTTTATGATTTTGCTCAACAGTGAACATTGTTCAAGTGTGTTTACTCTTAAGGGTATGTGCGTAGACAGAGTGCGCGTGCTATGTGTGTGGCTGCGCGTTTGTTCTAGTGTGGACTGGATGTATTGAGTCTCTCAAGTGAGCCCTCACCTTTCATTTCCATGAGTGGAAGAAATTATTCAGTCAAACAAAAGAAGCAGAAAAATTATTTTCATAAACACAACACCTCCCTTCCAAATATTGTGATTACTCTGTGAATCATTGGGTACCTTTGGGTAATTTCTGTACCCTAAGAATGAGCAGTTTCATAATTTGCATAAATAAATAGGCTCCCCAAGGACTCTGGCTTTGTTTAGCTTTTGCTTACTTACAATATATGACTGAAAAGTATATGACTGCTCACTATTTGTCACAAAACCTTCTTGCTGCTGTTTTCCGGCACTTATAGAAGAAGTGTGCCTTCAGATGCAAAGGTTGGTCTCTGTCTGGTGGCAACAAAGGGGCTCTGATGGAGGCTTAAGGGAGCCGATGAGCCATGAAGTTTGTTAAATATTCGCCGTTGGGTTTGATGGGCAGTTTGATTAAAAATGTATTCTGGGAAGACGCCAGGGAACAAAGTATTGTGTTCACAGTGTAAACACAGGTGGAGGCATGAAAGTGCAGTTGGTCTGGACTGTGCGTGTATGTGCTTTGACACAAAAGGAGGGCTGTTGCATCAGCCAAAGTCTACCTTATATTCATTTCAGTGACAGGAAAGCGGTGTGTTTATATAGAAACCCCTAAAGTGAAACATTTTGCTCTTAAAAAGGATTGCCCAGCAGCACACTAGAGCTTTGTGTTTAGTCCTGGACTTCACATGTTTGCGTCACTCACACACAGTCTCCTCCACAGGCAGGACAGGACATAACCATGACCGTCAGTCATTACTTGAGCACAATTTCCTCTGTCACCTTGTCTCAAGCGCACCCCGCCACTCCACTGCGCCTCACAGGGACAGCCATGCTGAGTCCATCGGTGACCAGCTGACTGTCCCAACTCAGAAAAGTCATTGACATTGAAAGGGTACTGATGCGTGCATGCTGCGTACAGTATACACACTCTTATCTCACCAAGGCATATACTTGAATACACACATCCGTGCACAAACGTAGACACACACATACATGCGCTCACATCAGCAGAGGTGGAGCCAGCAGAGGCGTCGTGACCACTGGCTTGGCAGGAGCCCTCAAGGTGAAAATTTTTAGTGAGGAGCATTTCAAATTCAGAACAGATGATCAGACCGGCGTTGAAACTGCAGAGTAGCTGGCGGCACCAGATGCAGACAATCTTTTGGCAGAGGAAGAGTTTTTGGTGCCTGAGTCTCAGACATAAAAAGTCAGAGGCGCTGAGCTGAAATTAATACAACTGTGGTTATCACCGTGTTACGGACGCTGGTTCTTATCGCGGTCCAGATGAGGCACAAAGCCTCAGCTATACGACCGTCCTCACAGCACACGTAATCCAGCCATGTATCTAGACATAACAGAGTGCAGACAGAGAAGGTTATTTAGAAGTAAACACAGAGTCAAACGCCGTTTCAGAGTCTCTCTCTGGTCATTACGAAATTGATGTTTATTTCCCACTAAACAGAAGACAGCTTTGAACATTGAGCACTGAGCATAAAATACGGGGTAATATTTACTTAATATAAGCCAAGAAGCTACTTACCAGTTCTTTGCCATTAATTCAGTTCAATTCAGTTTTATTTCTGTAGCGCCAAATCACAACAAGAGACGCTTCACGGAGCTTTATATTGTAAAGTAATGACCCTAAAATAATTGAGAAAAGTATACAGAATGTCACAATTTAAACTCTATAATAAATCTTATTCGAATATCTTCTAATTGCTTCCCACAACCTGAATTCCAAAATAGACATATTCTGAATGTGCAAAGACAAAAAAACAGCAAAAAAAACTCTGAAGTGAACAACACAGACGCACAAAGAAGCACCACTCTAGGTTTACAGGCAACTGTAACAGCTTGTCATGAACTACGGGTCAAAAAAAGAAGCTGTCCTGCACAGTTAGGACAATGTTCATTATTTTGTACTTGCTATGTTTGATAAAACAACAGCAAAATTAAAAAAGAGTAAATGGGACTGATTGAAACTTACCTTAGTTAAGCTGTGGTCACAAAAGAAAAAAAATGAAAAGAAAAACTTTCACTGGTAGTTTCAGCTGTGAGTTAGATCAACCCTATCCCTCTTACTCTTTGAAGTAACTTCAATGTTTGCGTTAACACTGAGGTGAATTTCCGTTATACTTTTCTTGCTAAAGGGCAGCTACAAACCACATCACTGCCAATTTACAAACCACATTGTTGCCTGTTTGACATTTGTGGGCAGAACACTCTGCAGGTGGAAGTGGCCACATGAAGCGCACACACAGGCCACAAAAAATAAAATAAGAATGGGGAAAAAAAGGTTTATTTTCACACTGTATGTTTATGTAAAAAGTTACAGTTTTACTGTTAAGCAATGATGATTATAATCCCTGATTTAACTTGTTGAATACTTTGTCCAAACGCACCCAAGCATCACATTTTTATATTTTAGAAGCTGTCTTGATATTTTTGCCTCGACGGTTAAACGATTACCAAATTGTTAGTAGTAAATGTGAATACTGCTTGCGAGACGGTCTGTCTTTATTTCACTGAGAATTTAGTAGAGCCAATTTTAATGTTAGAGTGATGTGCACACAATCCTTTCATTAGAAGTCAAATTACATTCTGACTGTAGGCCAATCTTACCGCACTTTCAACCCAAAGGAACTTCTGACCACATCATTCAGGTACGCTCGAGCATGAAAATCCCTTTGGACATTTTCTTCTGGTTTTGATTGGCTACTATTTGAATCATTTCACTTCAGTGGTATTTAAAATTAAATACGGCTTTTAAAAAAACACCTAACCCAAAACACTGATCTACTTTTTACTTGCACGCTGAAAACAACAAAGACTTCGATCTGATGTTCCAAGTGGACTCGATGCCCTTATCCACTACACACCCTGCAAAAAAGAAAAAAAAATCACGAACATTTTCCAGCTGTGAGTATAACTGATTAATATTGCAAACAGCATGCAGCAGTAGCAGCCAAATAATTACACTGTCCAACCCAAAATAAACAGCAACACGTAGTCACTCTGTGAGCTCAGAAATGTCTTGTTTTCCAAACTGTGGTGCAGAAAACTGCATTTATTTGGTTAATCCGGTCTGTCATCGATAAATCTCTCTGCATGATTTACGCCGAGTTCCCCTGCCCCGTTTTGCCTCTGTGTATGTGTGCACAGTGTTTTTATGTATGTTTTATCTCCACATTCATTTGTTTTTGTGCGCTTGTTAGTAAGTATGCATGTATACGTTTCTACAGCTGAGTGAGTAACAACATAACTGAGCCCTTGCATGTCCGACTTCCCCTCCATATCAGAATCCACTGATATGCAGGGGAGATAATAATCACCACTGAGATAATAAGCAGAGGCCTTTAGGGCAAAACATGGCCTGTGCTCATCAACTGTATGCATTCACTTTCCCTCTGTGTGGCCCCTGTTGTACTTCACTTCTGTAACAATGCCAAGGGCGGAAAGCCAGAAGTCTTATTATATTACTGCTAATATTAGTAGCTTGCTTGTAACTATCTGCATCCCGATCCCTTTATGTGGACATAAACATGCACTTTTTTACTCGTATGCATAGGTGCAACTGGCAAAATGGCCCATTAAACATTTATCATTGTCTATAAGCACTAATATGAAGGGGTGAGTTTAGTTTTTTTCCTTCACATTTGTGCTTTGCTTTGAGGTCTGTTGCTCTGTATTGTTTTTTGTCTTTTCCTCCCTCAAGGGGGGTGGGGGCGTTTGGCATCAGGAAGGCATTTCCTCTTTTTTTTCAGCAGCTTCTGAAATTAGAGGCTGAAAGAATAATCGAATAAGAGACAAGCTGTTGAAATTCAGAAGCAGGTTCACCCAGTGGCTGTTTTGAATATTAATGCAGTGTTTGCTCTGTGTATGTGAGTGTATCTCCGGTCAACACAAAAGGGAAGAAAGAAATCACATTAATGCAGACTCCTTTGAGCATTAATCCAGCTGAAACAGTTAAATCATAGATGAGTGATACTTCACAGGAGAATAAAGGAATACTTGGGGAAATCAGAGGTTGGGAAAATATTAACTTGAGCAGAGTCATTATTCAAATTAGTATCTGTGCATGTTTATTCCTGTACATAAAGAATAGCCAGAATTTTTATATTGTAATATTGTCAGTCTGTGACACCTTAGTTGAGGGTTTGCAGTATAGATATTTATATATCCTTTGGCTTTTAAACTCATCATATAATATGAT